ACAGGTAAAATACAACTTAATGAATCAATAATCGATCACGCAAAGTAATATAAGGATAAGGAAAAAAGAAGCAAATATTTTAACGAAGTGACTTTCATGATTTCCACTATTTGCTGTACATTAATGGTTGGGTTGTGAGATTGTATGTGCATGACTTCCACCGCACGTCTTTATAAGTATTTCCAACAATTTTAAACGTGAATGTGGAGATGTAAGTTCGTGATTTGCATTGCGGTGCTTAGCCATGGGTAGACTGAAGTAGGATTTTGAGTGCGAGTTTTTAATGCTCTACGGTGATCACTGATGCACACATTCAGCAATTCGCGGCTCTCGCCAATGTTTGACCACGTTCGCATGTGATTTTATAAGCGTAACTTGCTTTTGTTTAGCCATTCGCATTAAACGTATCAGGTTGTCATTATTTGGTCGTGTAGACGTGGTCGTATAGACTTTGATCATATGGATCCCACATATAGATCAGCATTTTCTCAAGGTTGGGTGGGGGGATAGGCAAGCAATCTATCCATATGTAGTCATTGTATGGATAGATTGCTATTTCTCCTAACCTACTCAAGGTGGGCAGACCTTGCATAAATCACCTGCGCAGTTAGAAATATTACGATGATATTCGAAGTTTTAGCGCTATGCCGTCTTCATTTTTTTTGACAGTAATATTTTGTTAACAGCATAACCTTATTGCCTTGATTCACCAATTATCGCCGTGCGTCATATAAATGAGGAAAGCTTCCAGCAATTCTCAAGTTTAATAGTAACGTTCCACCACCACCATTATATTATCAATTTCTTTGCTTCCTTCATTGCCAATACTATTCTTACTTTGCTATTATTTCCTAATCATCAATTCATTACTGCTCGAATAGATTTGGTTACATTCCTTTAGAATTGTCTTATTATGGTGCAAACATATCGTGTAAATGAACGTACTGATTTCTAAGAGGCTTCTTCATAACAATGAGACGATTAACCAATTGTAAACGTTACTGGTAATTCCTTAATGTCTCCCATTCTATGAAAGCAAGAGATTCTCAGGTCAAGGAAATCGTGAACTGCCGGAAAGTTTATTGATCCATTAAAGAAGATTTATAGAACAATCGACAGGCGGCCAATTAAAATCAATCGTCGACGATATGTTTGCAATAGATGATGAATTAATTCGATCAGATGTGCAAGATGATATGATCAAGAGTAAATGCTTGATTTCTGTGTTTAGTGAGATTTACTGAGGCTTTCCCTATAGCAGAATTGTGCTTACTGATGAATTGTGTCAGAATTGTGTTTTTTCTTTTGATTACTGATTTTTGAAAAATCTGTCTGATTGAATAAGTTTAGCACTTCATCAACTACTATTGTTCCATTTTCTTCCCATCTCCAAAACATTCTATTAGTAGTTTTTTTTTAAACTGAGGCTTTCCTAGCAAATTGTGCTCTCTTTCTTATTAACAATAAGTATGAAGTTTTGCATATTATCACAAACATACACCGTATAATATAAAAATGTTTCATTCGTTCAAATAAAACTGACCATAAAATTGAATCAAAGTTTGGTGATATTATTAATGGTATTCTTGTTGGATAAAAAATATGATTGCATTCTTGGTTGAAGATTATAATATTTCATAATTCAATGCAACTTCAAAAATACAATGAAAATATCAGTTAGATGGAGGCGAAAGGAAGGAACTCGTTTGCTGTCAACGGTGCTACTGTCAAGCAGAGCGTCTGATGAACGAAACGTTCTGTATCTATTGCTTCGTCCATCGTTCAACATCTTTGATTTCACCAACTGTCATCAACACCTCCATTATTATTGTTGTTGAAGCGTTTCGAACCTTCTTCTCATTTCCATTCACCGTGTGCATTCGTTTCGTTTCATTGCTTCATTACCAGTCGGTGTGCAAAAGTGTTATTGCCATCTGCAACATCTCAGATGAACATTCTCTTGACAATTCTAATTTGCCTTTTCAAATCGTTACTGATCAATGTAAGTGCCAATGATACGTTCATTGAATCGTATTCGAACGATGTTATCCAAGAGTATCTCACAAAGATGGCTCATGCAAACGTAAGCAGTAAATGCAGTGATAGTCTGCTAAAGGTTCATCGTTTCATCTTTTGTTCGGATTTCTTTTCGACGCTTCTGACATAATTTATTCAAAAATATCGATGAAATTATTCGTTGATCAAGCAGCAGACATCATTATACACTTTGAATTGTGTTCAAAGCTTGAACTTATTATGTTTATAAATTTATGATTACATCTATAGTAATATTGCGATTCAAATTCTTCGATAATATTGTTGATAATACTGACCAGGTAAAGCCGTTTCTGAATGCCTATGATACGATAGCAGAGCAAAAGCGATTATTCTACGCGTCTTATTCATCTGGTGATGTCAAATACATTAGAAGCAGGGATCAAGACCGTTGGGTTTGTTCATTCGCTTTATTGTTATCGTATCAATCGTTCCTTGAACTGTCGAGTGAAAAAAAAAGTAATGATTGATTGTTAATTCATAAGAAAAGTGTTGTTGTATTTCATTCCTATGTTCATCTTTGAAACCTTATCATGCACTTCCTAATGCACCAAATAAACCATCAAAATATCAAAACACCTGTCACTAACTGTCTTCAATCAAAGAGTGAATATTTCGAGAAGTGAAATTCTCGATATGATTGCATCATCATCTGTAAATTCATCGAACATTCAGCACTTCTTATCGTGCCGGCAAAATCCCACAATCCGATCTCACCGCCTTTGCGATGGTAATCAGAAATTGAAAATTATTTAAATTTGATCAAGTATTGCCATTCAAGGATCAGCATTTTCTATCACACGTTTTTNTTTTTCTGTCGAACAATGCAAAAGAAAATGCGAAAGTTTCACTCACAATAAAATATGTTGTATTTGTTTTAGTTACAGAATATAATGTGACACTTTTTGAGCGGAAATGAGTTGAGCCTATTGTTGCATCTCTGCACACTGATCAGAGCGATTCGATTCATGTCTGAAAAAGTCAATGCACCGTTCCATTTAATTGTGATACAAACGTTTTCGTACGTGCAGATGAAATCAGCGAACATTCGTTGCTATTGAGAAATTAGTATGGGTTTATTTAAACTTAATTACTTTGAAAAACCATTCACACCAATAGCTCGTTGAACTTTGGTCACGACCAAAACCGGAACGTGTCACCTGTAATTTCAATTGATAAAGATGTCGTTAGCAGGCATACTGTTTACTGCAAACGGCAATTGCCTCCAGTTTGCAACATTAATACGTTTGTAGCAAATTCATCTATGCGAACACGTGAACTCATAGATCTTCAATAAAACATTTTTAGCAGGCAAATAAAAAGTGCTGGTGGTTAAATTGGTTTCCTATTAGAATATTGTAAAATATTGCATGTAATCTTATTAAATACGCATGATCTGAAGATGAATAACTCGGACATATGAAAGGTGCTGGTAGAGGGAGAAATAGCTCTTGAGCGATGGATTTGCAATCAGCAGCACTCATATCTATATGTTGCCTCAGATCATCCTTTATCAAAGAAGACGTACAAAATGACATAATTTTATTGGCGTTCTGATTTGATCCTACCGATGATATGAAAATATAAAATCGCTAAGGATGAGTGTGCACAGCATTGCTGCTCTGTTGCAGATAAAAAACGTACGGATAGCAGCGAATGTATACCTCGAACCCGAGCTAAATTTATTGCTTGTTGGCGAATTCTGTCGGAAATTTATCTCGCCATGACTCATTTTGATTTATTAGAAATATTGATCTACGCAAACGGAATTGGCTGAGTTAATTCGATAGATGCAAACATCAGATAGAGAGACAGCAATAAGCATAATTTGAACCTATTACGAGGTTGTGGTTATTTTCAGCACTTCCGATTCAGGACGTGCATCACATCATCTGCCGAGGGTACAGCAACACCCTCAGAACATCCATTAGTGTTTTGTGTTGGTCGGGACAAATTGAAACAAATCGGTATTTGCATACCAACGACTTGTTATGATGATCATTCCTATGTCAGTTTGTCGTTTCACTGATCATTTGATTTGCTGCCGTTTTTATCATTCATCATTCATCAATCGATTGATTCATCAGATTTCATTTGATCAATTTTGTTCTGAATAAAGTGCGATTAGTAGTTTCATCGTATGAGATAAGATCACATCTCAGATTAATATTAATAGTTAAATGTTCAGATGGATCCTCTTTCACTTCATACATTTACTTCAATCAGTTTACAGTGGATTANCGAATCGATGACAATAACCGAAAGAGTTCTATCGATAACGATACAATAGCAGTGACACATTGTACCAGATCAAGACATCCAAAAGAATGGTTTCAATCATTTTCGGTCGTTTTTGAAACATCCGTTGGCTTCGGAATCATTCTAACTGCTGGACTAGCGACAGCTTATCATCTTGTCAGGGGCGATAAACACATCGAGTAGCTTTTTTGCATTTTCACTTAATTGCACCTTCTTTCGATGCTCTCTACCAGTTTTCACTATCGATCACGCGGAATAATTTTTTGAATTCACTTCGAAAGGTTTCTTCACCAAACGAGTATTCCAACTAAGTCTTTCCTATGATTTCAATCCGGTTCAATCTCTAATAAACAGCATTCAGTAATATTGCTACTGATCAATGATAACACACCACTTTGATCACTTTATCATTCCATTCATTTTTTACTAACAGAATGGCAACAGTAGCAATAACGATGACTATAACAGTCACAATACCAACAATAATAATGATAATGACAATGATGACCCTATAATCATAATAACAACAATGATGAATAGTAATAATAATAAGGATGAGAGTAACAATTAAGATCAGTGTGGATGAAAATATTCGTTGCGTTTTCGGCAAAGAAGACGTTCGAAACGATAACAAAAGTATCTGATAATCCTTCATCAACAATAAAGTGCATTTGCGGTCTTCGAGTAATAGCGACCTTATGGGTTTTGCTTGGTCATTCATGTGTCTTCATTATGGTACTTCTTTTAATGGTTATTCGATTTTGAACAATCAATAAGGTGTTCGTTTTGAATTGAACGCATTTAATAAGTTCCTGTAAGTCCACTATCAACAGAATTGATGTGACGTTCTCAAAATCATCATTGAAGGATTTCATCGAGAATGGCGACGATCTGAAAGAGCATATTGCGACGAGTTATGCCTATCAACCGATGACAAACGCCGCGATCAGTGTTGAGATGTTTTTCGTGATTGGTGCAGTATTGTGTTCATATCATTGGTTCAGAAGCATTGCTAAACCAGGTAGGGAATAGTACTTGAGATTCAATTTGTTTTTATTGCGAATGCTTGCGTTCTTCTCAGTTCACCATCTTTTTAGTTGTGCGAGAATGAACATGACTGCTATTTATTTATTAGTTTTACTATTATCCAACATAACAATTGAATGCTTGAGTCAATCAAATGGGATCGAATATTAAAGGTGCCTATGTACCAACGTTGAAATCCTGGAAATATTGGCTCGGATTCTACAGACATCGTGTATTGAGATTATGGCCTGCGTACGCTTACATTCTAATACTATCCACTATGCGGTTTCCGTTCATGCGTTATCATGAAAACTATCCGGTGTGGGGACCGGATGATTACGGTGTAATGTGCTCGAAGCATTGGTGGGAGAATCTCTTGTTCATAAACAGTTTTACGGATGGTTACTGTCTGCCTTGGACATGGTAGTTATTATCATCGAGTCAACTAAGTTATTGAATTGATCAGAACATTCATTTGTTTGATTGTTTTTCGACTGATTGCTTGAGTAATCGAAGCATCGCATTCCGTCGCCTCTTCACTCGCATCAGCTTATTGATTTATTCAATCATTATTTTGGTGATTCGTTCAAGTAACCGATCCACTCACTAAATAGCCTATCGCTTGACTTGTTTTCCATCAGATATAGGTGTTCCGTCATAACCCGTTCAATAATGATCACTTCTCACTGATATTTTATTCAGTTAGAAATGTCCACAGCAGGAAACAAGCAACTGAAACTTTCATTTAAGGTATATCAGTACAGAATTTGTATTCTTTTTTGTGTCACCCTTATATCTGTTGGCATTAAAATACAGACCACGACTTGGTGTATTTGTTTCGTTACTCACGATAATCACTTCAACGACTGCACTAACACTACAAACGATTCGCTACAATTTTCCACCAACTCAAACACTCTATCTCACACCGCACAATTACAATGAACATACCGAAATGGTACTCAATTAATTCGTTGACTTTTTCATTTAGTAGTCAGCTGTGAATAGCAAAAGAATGAAGCAATGATTTCAGTATCAGAAATTCATCTATGTGAAACCGCAATATCGAATCAGCTCTTATCTGATCGGTTTGTTGACCGGTTATATTCTCGCGTTGTGCAGTATGGAAACAAAAAGAGACGATCAAAAACAAACTATAACAGAATCGAAAAGCTTACAATTATTTGGTTGGATTTTATGTATGCTAGCTTTGTTATGGTCTACCTATGGAATGGCACCATGCTTTCAGGTTCACTTTTCATCGAATTTGTATTTCACTTAACTGATCAACGATTATTAAGTTTACTTTCATTGGTGCTGAAAAAACACTTGAATTGTGTATCATTTGAGGGACATAAATCATAATCGGAGCATTAATTCATGACTGATTACCCATAATGTTCATAATATAATCGTGTTTCATAACATAATCAATCAAATCGATCATTTCTTTCAGTGAGATTATTGCCCATGAAAAACTAATTTTTTAAATGCATTTTTTACAGTGGAGAAATTCTGTTCGAATAAATTGATTCCTGATCATTTCAAAACAAACAAAAAAAACGTTTGTGTGGTCGTGCTGTTAGCATTGATCGCAAGCATACTATTCGAATGAATTAGTGAATATTGTTGATACTCTTTCCTCAAACTTCTTATTGTATATATTTGTGATATTATTTTCCATATATTATAATCATTAATATCGCATTATTGTCATCATCGTGTCAGTTTCGTGATTATATTCATTATGAACGATGTGAATTATCATCATTAGTGTCACACTGCAACTAAAAGCGAATCGCTAAGTGGTGTGTACTGATCGTTCGAAGAATATCATGAACGCAACACTGAAATTGTTCTAATGAAATGAGTGTTCAGAATGAATACAGTCAATTCTATCGTGTCATATACACCGCATTCCATCGAATAGTGTTTTCACTGGCAATATGCTGGACTATTTACGCGTGCCATAAAGGATTCGGTGGTTTCCTCAACACTTTTCTTAGTTCAAAATTTTTTGTACCACATTCAGCTTTATGCTATACGGTTATTTATCACTTTTACTATTTTTGTTATTACTATTATTATTATTATTGATTTTATTATTTTCATTATTATTGTTATCTTCTTTATCTTTGATAACATTATTTTTAATTGTTATCATTATTATCATTGGAATTATTATCACTGTCTTATCTTTGCTACGAAAATAATGATGGTGTTAATATCATGATAGCACCTCATGATAGAATCATCGTCTAAATAATTCTTTAAAATGCCAAAACTTTTAGTTTTACTTGATACATTTGTTTCCAATATTCACTATCTTGATGAGCTCATCATTCCCGATAAAGTACGATGGTTTCACAACGGTGCTGAGTTATTACTGGAAAATCGTTTTATTATGTTATTCAGTATCAATGGCGATTATGTTCATCATTGAAATGCCTGCTCTTCATATCGTTAGGATATTTTTCGGGAATGCAAAAGCAGAACCGGTTCGTTGAATATTATCATTATTCTCTTTCGGTGTCTAGCCACATAATACGATCAGAATAGGGGTTTGTTTGGCTTCGGTTACGACTAGCACTGAAAATTTGTTTCAAAACTGAAATTAGTAAAGCGGGACTTGTTCGGATTTGCAGTTGATCTTTTCAAATGATTCAACGCTTTTACTAAAAATCATTTCAAATGAATATAATTCATGGTTGCTTCTGAGACGATTACAGTGTTCAATGAGTGATAATTTAAATTGCAGAAAAGCGAAACGATTCGTCATGAGAAGAATGGCATCAAGAAGATCGAATCATTTTCAAGTAAAACTTCCGATGTTCATTAGTGTAATAACTTGATTCAGACACGTAAACAAAAACAAGCGTTGAAATTTGAAAAAAATAAAATAATCTTTAAATTACAGAGCAAAGATCGGCGAATTGCTATGCTTTGGTGCCAGAAATGGAATCTTTGACTGCAGTTAGACGGAACGGGTAAGCAAACAATAATGATGAATGAGATGCACAATTTTGAGTGGCATTTTATCTTTCCTCTGGCAGGAACTCATCGGAAGCCGGTTGAAATGATCAACGAGATGTACTATGCCTAACCTTAGTACTGAACACTGCCGTTTCAAATAAAAAACTTTTATTCGTTAAAAAAAAGAGCAATAAAATTCGCGTTGAACTGGTTTATGCTGAAGAATATTAACACACATAATTCGAGAAACGAGCGGGCTTGCTTTTAAGCAACGTTGCACAGTAATACTTCCGAAGCCGTTAAGTGTTCTGAATTGTTATGTTTGGGGTTTAGATGATATTAATCAGTATTTCTGATGATGAACACTTGGATAACATTACATGACTTGTTTGCTACCTCAATAAATGCTTTGCGCTCCTCTCACCCACTAGCTTCCACTCATCTCATTCTAATGAGGTTAACAGAACTGCTAGTTGGTTCGATCGGAATTCGACGGAACCCATTTTTACGATTTGAAAATTCAGTACCTGCCCACAAAATGAAACCTCGGTTGATTATCACCACCATCTCAGTCCACACTCTCTCCTCCTTTTTAAGAAGTTCAACTTAAAAATCCACTTTGTGACCTCAGAAAATTGAAAATCTGAAGTTTAAGGAAAGCGTATAAAAGGAACATTCTTCTCTCGAACACATTCCGCTGATGACTTTTTAGCAACAAGAAAACTGCAACAAGTTACTCCCCAATATCTAAACGAATCTTAACATTCATCCCTGAAAACAATTTCTGCCTATATCGTTGACTGAAATTACTGAACGAACTTTTTTTTATGATACAAACGTTAGAGAGCAAAGCGCTATGGTTGCAATGGAGTGGTTTAGTAGTCTGAAAATGTGGGGTTCCACCTCCCAAAAAGTCGAATTTTTCCATCATACTGAACAATAAACAAGGAATCGCATCTCGCCCTACACCCGAAAAAATCCACCAGTGGTTTTTAGTTTAGGTCACTGTTAAACATAAGATCGACAACTTCACAAGAGTATTATTTCACTGATTAACTATACAATTGGTATCAATTTCGATGAGACATTCGAAGTGGATGTAATTCACTGCTTGTAATACAAATGAAACATCACTTCGCAAGTCCTGTTTATCCGTTGTAATACAACTCTGTAAAGAAGTGCGTGCAAATTTTGTAATGAATAAACTGCCTCAGTTAACGACCGCGCTCATCCAGTTTCCTCAGTGCATGCAATAAATTGAGATTTTTCATCGCCAGAAATCGAGCCCGGGCCTAAAGGACAACACTCACATTGAACTGATATGAACACATACATCAAGGGTTCATTTTTCAAGCTATGTGCAATTTCAGGTTCACTCACTTTCAAAGAACTTCTTCATGCCTTCATTTCTATCACCCGAATTCAGAAGTGATGATTTTTTAAATTTATGATGCAATATAACATTTTCGGCATTATTAACTTCGCTTTCTTTGTCAGGATAATTATCACCCTTCAGTGGTGGCAGTGAAATAACTAAATGACTTTTTAAAAATTCATGCAGATAAAAGAACTAACTCATCACAGACTTAATATCTGAATCGAATTAAATTTTTCCAAAGTTGAAAATCTGCACTTGTACCTTGAAGAACTGATTATGTTCGATATTATACAACCCAAGTTGAGCCAAAGATAAGTTCCGTTGTTTCGCACATGCATTAATTTGTGGTGATTCTGTTAGCTGAATAATCATATTATTAGGATTTCTGTCAGACTTGTGGAGTAGAGACTAGATGTGAAGTCAGGAATCGCATTCATTTAAAACAAGACAGAATATGACAAAGGATAGTGATTACACGATTGTATGCAATTAGAGACGATTTTTCCGTAACTCTGAGCCTTCTCAGAAGAAGCGAAACACGAGTTCGATGTCCAAGATGGGAGGATGCTGCATTGTTACATTTACTTAGCACTTACCTGCTGAGGAACAGGAACGGCATTTCTTCCATAGGGAAGCATTCAAATTATTAAGTTTTATTTCTTTTTAATGGGATATGACGAATGTTGGTCAGCGAAATAAAGCCTTTAAAGTGTACAACGATCGAAACACAATTCAAAAAATAAAATGATAAACACGGCTGGAACGATAAGAATCAGAAGAGATCAGCAAGGTGTACGCATATATGTAGAAACCAGCATGTTGAGGAATCGGTCTCCAGATGTGAGCCTAGTTTTGCCATATGAAATACTTGCAGCTCTATCAGTACGGCATATGTTTATGGGATGCTATCTGCAGAACACGATTTGTTATCGCCTGCCACATCAACTGGATTATTGCCACCACGGGCCAATTTCTCACCGGATTTTGTTGATATCGCCTTCAGATCATCAGTCGTCCGAAGAGACTTGAGAAATTAAACATTTAGCTCGATGTTTTGTCTTTCCCAACTTTATCAAAGAGGAGATGACTCTTACAGTTTAAATCGTCTTACATTTCAATGATTACCAGTACGCATTCTTTACAGATGCTTGATTTCACTTCAAACTGCTGACACAAGCTCTTTCCAGAATCAAGACCGGTAGGGTTAACAAGTCTCAAGGTGAGGTGCTTTAAGAAAGCAATATTGGAGAACATCTTGAATACATCCAAAGTTATATTCTTTCGAGCAACCAGACAATAGCTTCAATTTCGAAAGCTATGTGGTTACACAGTGGATTCTTCCGTTGATACGTCTCAATTGAGACACAAGGATGCAGGGTGACTTTTAGAGAGGCGTTCACCTTTGCATGACTTTAGCATGGCTTTGATTGTGAATTAACCTATCCTTAGCTTTGAATGGACTCTTCGTCAATTTGACTCATCCTTTGATTTGTCTTGTGTTTCAGTTGATTTGATATAGCCTGAGCTTGGCATGACCTGATTTGACGTAATTTTGGATGACTTTGTTTCCCTTACGCCTCGACGTGGTGCTGAGTTACTGTTATCATAATATAATATTATAGCGACAAGATTGCGAAATGCATCTAATTTTGCATTCATCATGAGTAGATTTTATATGATGCTCGAGTTGATCATAATGCGAATTAACACAATTGGGTTGGTTCTGATTTGAGTTTGGTTCATTAGGAGCACATTTAACTTCGGATGACTTGTCTTTAACTTATGATGTACAGTTATAGAACAACCACATTAAACCATCTGTATGCTCGGGTTTGCTCACAATCAAATCAGTTCTTGACATTCTCATATTGGGCAGGTCCTCTGCTCTAATACTTACTTTGTGATACTTATGTTAGCTGAATTATACGGCTAAGTCTCGTTCGTGACTGCGAAGCTTGGTTGACGGCTTTGCATTTTATTACAATGATGAATAGTCTTCATCAAATATTATTATTACTATTATCATCAACATGCCATTAACTATTAAATATTCGATAATAACAACTGACTGCAAACATGCGAAATCAACCTACACCATGCACTAGGAAAGATGTTTTGGAGCCTTGCAGATTCGTCGACTCTTTCAGTGCGTTTGGTTGCGATTAGTAAAAGAGTGCTTGGTGATCTGTTGGAAGTAAAAGTATTTTCTTGACTCTTACACATTTAAGTAATACTACTCGAATAAGTCAAGTAATACTACAGTAAGACCACTTAAACTCGCGCTGGTTCGCATGCCCTTCGGATGAATTGCTCATACCGTGGAGAAAAACGCGCGCACGAAGATGCGAACAGAGTAGAAACGAATACGCTGGTGTAACACTACGCCAACATCGAATCACACTTCGCCAAGAGTAAAATTTTGTGCGAATTGATAGCATTCTCAAGACACAGAGACCATGTCAGGTCATGTGTGCCTCAAATTAGTAGAGTCTCATTTTTCTTTAATCACACGTCTTTAATCGTTTGATTCAGACCTCAACGAAAGCTTAGGCTTAGGCTTAGACTTGGGATTAGACTGACGATTAATGCAATAAATCGACCGGTGCAGAATACCGAGAGTGCGATTGATAGTTAGATTGAAGACAGAGTCCCATTGAGATACCCGTATAAAAGTGGTGCTTTCGTAGAGACCTGGAAAATTTTTTTTTTCGAAAAATATGATCCAAATCCATTTAATGCGGCGGGTCTTCAGCGCAATAATTCTGCGTTGCATGAAGTTATAGATGGAGAGTCAGCGCAAGAGAGCATATCAAAAATTGTTCGTCATTCGAAACAATATGCAAACAGTTAGAGATGAACGCGAAAAGAGTGTAGAGCGGTGAGGGTAGAGTGGATGATGATGATGAAGGTATATTATTGCAGTTGTTACTATTATGCCTAGTTCGTCATCTCGGTTTATGACTGTTGTTTTGCTGTATTCGTGACCTAGGGTTGATTATTTCTTTTGTTTCAATACGCCTTCTTATTCTCGATTCGCGTTTTTCCATCCAAATGTTCTTCACAGAATTCAAAAAACTGCCTTCCACAATAACTTTTGTCTGATATCTCCTTTGAATGTGGCTCCTAATTTTTCAGTTCGGTTACTCGTTGAGTGGTTATGCGTACACGTTTGTGTGCACCGTTGGGTTTGTGTGTCCATTACAGTCTTGTGTACAGTTGAATGATATGATTTTTTTCGTTGTCATCGGTTCCTTTCATCATTATTCGCAATTCTTTTTTTTGTTTTTTACTTGTCTTTACTTATTACTTTACTTTTTACTTTTTTTTTATTTTACTTATTATTTTAATCTTTTCTTTTTACTTTTTTACTTATTCGCAATTCTTTTATTCGCAAGTGTGTTTTTTCACTGCTGTTCTCTTTTACTTGTCGTCAATTCAGCTCGCATAACTAACTTCGCATTGATTTTCGATATCGCTCCGATTTTTCGGCGGTACTCCGAATCAAACAATCTTTCTGGAAATTCGGATCTGAATTTCTGCATTACATTGTTGCATTGTTTCTGCATTGTTGGGTGGAGAGAGAAGCTATGAAAAGTTGAAATCAAAAAATCTTTCCTGGTTTTGGAGATTTGTTGATGAAACTTTCAGACTGCGTTCATGCGAGAAAATGAAACCAAATATAGCTAATAGTAATCAGTAGTTTCAAGTGAACGAATATCATCTGCAATTAATATCGTTCTGAAACTTTTTGTGCCATTCATGACGACGTTAGATGTGTATGTAAATTTTGTTCGTCTATGTGAAAGCTGTTCTCAAATAGCAATCAATTGGACTTCTCATGAAATTCGACATTAATATTCGGTGCACTCTCGCAGTCTCTCTCTCTCGTTCGATAATTCCGTTCAAATTTAATTTCATTCAAAAAACTTTTCAATTCTTTCATCCAATTCGCTCATATCTAAATCTATGTCAGTTTTGAAAGCTAAATAAATGACTCGACTCACATTCATTATTGCATGTAACGAGCTTCATTCCGGCGTATTTCTCTTCTCTACAAGCAGAACGTATTATTCCAGCAAAATTGTTATTCTCACTTGAAAATTTGCATTTTGCGTTCGTTGCGTTTCACAATTAACTTTGTTTTTGAATATTCATCCCGTTTTATGGTTAGTATTGATTTAACGTTTTACGTGTTTGCATAATCAATTGCATTATTTCATGTGGGACGCAAGTCCGATTATTATCAATGTGTTGTTTTGTTGTCAGTCTGTTCATATTGTATGATTATCGACGGTTGTGTGTGTGTACGTGGTTGTGTGAAGTTGTGTAAAATTGTTCGTTTGCAAAGAAATTCGAACGAAATTGCTCGATATGGTTTGCAGTTGAACACTTCATTCATTTAATTCTCTTATCAGAAACAAATGATTTACAGTTATGAAAAGTAGAGTGCATAGAAAATTCATCGGGGATGTATGTGAATAATTTTTGATGAAGATATTCGTTGAGATACGATTCGCTTGTTACACATTTTTGGATTATTTTTTTTATAAATGGAGTTGTTGTCGGCGGTATTATTGTTGTGAGTATCGTTGATATTGTTCCGTGCTGAGCATTTCGTTTTGATGTGATATGCATAATGCTTCGTTTAGTTATTTATTGATCACTCTCAGAAGTTTATTGATGGCGCTGATATTCAATCTAAATGAAATGAAATATGTAATAATTGTTGATTCTAAATTTAGAGATCACTCTCAGAAGTTTATTGATGGCGCTGATATTCAATCTAAATGAAATGAAATATGTAATAATTGTTGATTCTAAATTTAGATCAGATTGACTCTCCAAAATAGTTCGATAATGATTGTCGAGTCACCTGAAGCGTTACGTGTTTGGTTGACCAAGGAAATGGCACCTATGTATGTTTTGAGTTGTTGATGTTTTCATTCGTATATGTTTCAATTTGAGTTTCTGTTCGTTAAAGTATCTTGTAAAGGAGCGTTGATTACGCTTAGTTGCGCTTGCTTTTTCGAGGCTGAAATTATTCAACGAAAATGATCGAAGTATTTCTTAANTTGCATTTTTGGAAAGATCCACTGTACATATAGTGGTATGTTCATTGCATTCACACGCACTTTTGCTGAAATTTACATTAAGTGATAATGTTAAAGCGATGTATGAATGAGTCTTTGTGACCGCATTCCAGATGTGACGCCGAACCGGCTGCATTAGCCAAGTATGTGTTAGCGCTTTTGCGTAAGGATAAGCCGGAGGCTGAGTTGATGGAGTTTTGTATTGAACAATTGGATGTGTTCTTGCAAACGAGTACGTTTTTTTTCAAATGTGAATTTTATTCATCTATTATTTGAAAATAAACTTGTGGTCATTTATTTATTTATTTGCTCATTCAGCAATTACAATTGCTCATTAGAACTTGCCTTCTTTGCATCGTTTTCATCATCCTTTTATATACTCCGTTCTGCTTAATTGGCGTTATTGTATTGAGTGCTGCTGAATTCATTTTTTGTTCAGTGATTCTGAATCGTTTAAGTCGTTTCATATTTAGTAGTTGATTTTTTAAAAGAATATTTCAGAGGCTAGACCTTTCGTAGAGAAGCTGTTCGGAGTGATAAAAGACCGGTCATATATAATGCCATCAGCACAGTCTTCTGCCACTGCTGCATCGGCAAGTGCAAATACTTCAAATCAACCAACGAGTCAACACCAATCAACACAACCCAATCAAGTATCACCCAATAATAATTCATCAACATCCAGAGGATCTTCGTCCGATAATCGCAAAAAAGAAGTCGACGAAAAAAAAGAATCAACGAAAGATAAGGATATCAAAGATGACGACAAGAAAAAAGCATCGAGTGCAAGCGAACGGGATCGGGACATGCGAAGGGTTGGTTGCTTATTATTGTCGCTTTATGATTATTCAAGAATGGTATTATTTTTGTTATTGCTATTATTTGATGTTCGTGTTTATTTTTGTTTTGCTATGATTATTGCATTCGTGTGATTATCGTGTCGTTTACTGCTATTAACTGTGATTACTTTTTTGTTTTTCAACGCCAAGTCTGCGATCCCAAATCGTTTCGTATCGATTTAAATGAGCGAGAGCTTTAGTTGGTTTGCAGCAAAAGTATTGTAGCAAAGAAAGATGGTAACAAAGAAAAGATGAGAATTGATAGTGTGATTAGTGATGATGTTCTGGTGTATTTTTGTGTGCATCAGCACTAATCTCAGTCTTATTTTGCCAACAAAAAACAGTGGTATTTTATCCAGTTGTTTTCGTTCAGTTTCATTATTTTGAAGACACGCTCAACGAATACGTATTGTTGTTTGAAGAGTGCAAATTAAAGAAAATTAAAACGAATTTGATAGTGGTTGCGGCTGACAAGATCATCACATCGGTCTTAGAGTTGGCCTGCAAATTGTCTCTATCAGTCTAGCTGAACTACTGTCATCAGTTAACCTTCTCGAATCTGTCACTCTTCAGAAATGTCTGCACAAACCGCATTCGTTAGCGTAATGTTGCTGTATTCTTTTTTATGCTCATATTGATTCATTCCCATATTTGTGGCAAACGCCACGGTCAATTGCATGAACTCAGTTGTATTTTTTTAGGTGTGCTGTTGCTGCCTGTTTGCATCGATCTGAACACTGATGTTTTTTCATTGCTTCATTACATCACATTTCATTATCTCTTCTCTATCTTCTGCTCTCTCATCTTTTTGTAATCATTTGAATGCATCAATTGAAATGGCGAAATAGTTTTCTTAGTTCATTCACGTTGAGCTCTGATGGGAAAGTGAATTCAGATCAAATAGATAGAATGAAGTGATAGAGGTGGAATTGATTAGAGATGGTGAAGAATGAAGATTAGAGAGAATTAAATCGAATTTGATATTAGTTTTCGGGTTTGGTAGTATAATTAGGATTAGATGAAATAAAGTGGATGGATTCATTTAACTTCAATGGATTGTGTGTGTATCAGTCAATTGTAATAAGATTTTTTTTTGTTTGGTGATTTCCATTCGCATTTCGAGCGATGTTTGTCCACAAGCGTTGCTTGATCAAGTGCACCGCTTTTGCCGTAGTTGTTTCACGATTGCGAGCAGTTGAGCGTACAGCATAAACACATACATGAACGTTAGTTAAGTAGACGAAACTCTGTACTATAATCAATAAACACATCTGAATAAATAGCTGGCTGGAGTGAGTGAGTATTGGTTGTAACAAGAAGGGAAGGAGATGTTGAGTAATGCGACGGACGGCTCTTTTTAGACGGAAAACGGCATTCTCTCGTAACTGGCATCACGCTTGATTCCATCATTTGATGTTGATACTGACGCCTTTTTGCACATGCATGCAATCTGATTTTATTTCGGTATTGTTACGTTCGAATTTAAACCAAATAAGTTTATTCGTTGTGATAGTAGTTGGTGATAAAATTCATAAGTTCCTTCAAGAAAAGTTCAAAATAAGTGAATTTGAATTAGCCAGCTTGGTTGTTTCCAGTAATTTTTTTGCCCGTCGTTTGTTTGATTTGTTGTGGAACAAACTCGTGATGGAATGATTTTTTGAATTGATTTTTCTTTATTTGATTTATCCTGCCGGAGGTGACTGCATTGAGAGAAGTACGGCAGGTGGGTAACTGCTATGGATGATTGATGACTGCCATATTTTGTTGTTAACGCTGAATGGACAAGTTCACCGAGAAAATGAAGTTGTCGTTTATTTTTCACTTATTCGAGCGATGCAACAACTATGTGCTGATGAAGTGAATACATGTTGTGCATATCGAGTAATGTTATCAACTTATGATTTGAATAAAGAAAACGGAAGAAGGCAATTGCAATTCAAATGATGAGATTTTGAAGGGACGTGACGACAAAGAGTCATCGGATAAGAAGGGTGGTGCCCAACAGCAATCAGACATAATCCCAAACCAACCTCAAAAGAGTGTTCGTAAAAGAATTTCACCGCCTATTGCGAATCCTCGTGACGATCAACGACGAGATCATCCGGATTTGAGGTTGCTTATTATTTTAAATTCGATTGTTCTCATATCAAACAGCAACGTTTCATTCATTTGCTCCACCATGCACTTCCCAGCAAAATATTTAATTAACTCAAGGCCGGAGCCATATATCATGATAACTGTTGTACTGTGCTATAAACTAAATCAATTTTTATTCCAACTTTAGATTCGAACGACGTCGTAGTCGATCACCACGTGATCGTGGTAGAGGAGTGGATCGATCGGACAGACTTGATAGAGGTTCAGATAGAGGAGAGAGAGTCGAACGGGGATTGGATAGAGGTGATCGAGGTTCAGAGAGGGGTGATCGGATCGATAGGGGCTTCGAGAGGGGGGACAGAGGGTTTGAAAGGGGTCAAGAGAGAGGCGACAGGGTACTGGAGAGAAGCCGTCTTCAAGCTGTCAATCAACCGCGAGCTGTTCACCGTCAAAATGAACGATACAAAGGTGGTGATCGACTCTCAGATCGTGTAGAACGTATCGATAGAACTGAACGAAAACGCTCAAGATCGCCGTATGAGAGACCAAGGTTTTTATTGTTATAATCACTGTTTTATATGTCCATCCAAGTCATCTTCATGTTAAATTTATCAATTCTTGTGGCTATGATGGCGGGATAATACATTCCGTATTTGCTGTTTGCAGTTTTTTAAATTGTTGTCAATAAAATGATGCGAGTAAATAAACTCTCAACAGATAACAAATAAGTGTGTAATTGTAGACGTGAGAAGAGTGCCGAGGTAGAGCAACGTAAGAAGAAGCGATGTCGTGATTATGACGAGAAGGGTTACTGCATGAAAGGTGATCAGTGCATCTACGATCATGGACCGGATCCATTAGTTGTGGACGATATTGCACTCGAAAAGATGGTTAGTACAGGAGGTAGTGCTACCAACGCTGCGAACAACAATAGCAGCACGACCAAGACCACACTGAACACAGTCACGAATACCACTGCCTCATTACCTCCACAACAAATCACACCTAATTTCTCAGTTCCGCCCCCTGGTTATACCCCGCTGAATCCGCCACCACCCGGAGTTGATAACGTTTATATGGCCAATTCGAGCGCTGCAACTGCTATTCCGCCGTTATCCGAAGGTGTCTGCTAATTATTCTTTTCATATATTTGTTTTATTGCTGAACTTTCTTGCTATTATGACTTTTTTAATACGATAATTTCGTGTTGCGTTCACTGTTGTGATCGTTGGTATTTTAGTGGTGTATTTAAGTGATAGCCACACAATTAATAGAACTGAGTTAGTGAATAATAATAATATGGTGGTAAGTTTAGGCTATAATCCGGAAGCACCAGCGTTGAGTGCCGCAAGCTCACTGGTGGTTCAAGGCAGAGTTCAAGCGCCGGACTTTTCAATACCTCCTCCACCGATACCTTTATCAGCCCAACCCCCACCCGCACTATCACAGAGTCATTTGGGCGGTCAAGCGGCACCTCAATCATGGCCTTCTTCTACATACCCGGCAATGCACCATACAAATCCTCAGTCGATTTCTGCATCGTCCGCATCCATCCTTGTACATCCAACAGCGAATAGCTCCACTTCTTATGATCCCTCTCAGCCATCCACTAATCTTCATAATGTCGTTCAGGTTATTTTTTTTATTGTTCATATTCTGTTGGTTGGAAATGATTTAGTTGTTGTTGCACCAAAACGTATCGTTCGCTCGTTCGCTTTTTACGAATGATTAGAGGGATGATCACAAATTATTCTTTCAATTCTGTGTTGCACTGGCAGACGGTATCCGTGATCATTCGTTTATTACTTAGAAGAGTATAGTAAATGCGAAATGAATTGTAACTCATAAATCAGTAGCAGTATTAACTAATACTTGAGTAATACTTGCAAGTAATACTTGAGTCAGATGGAAGATAACGTCATGTTATCATTTACGTGTAACTGATGATCGGCCTTCAGCAAACATTAAGCAGTGGTGCCGTAGTGACGAGACAGCTTCGAGGTGCGAATCAAATGATGGGTGCGAATATAAATGTGAATCGTTATGGCATATCCTCATCGTCCACGAATCCATCAAACAATCGTACTTTACAAGTTCGTAAAATACCGATCGCTTTGAACAATATCACCAAACTCAACGAACATTTCGCTAACTTTGGGCAAATTGTCAACATTCAGGTTGGTGTCTGTGATCATTCGTTTATCATCATTCAAAATCGTTCATTTGTTCTTGATAATATCGATCAGATTACTTTTGATCTTTTAAGCCACTGTTAGTGCTTGTTGTAATAATTGTTATTCTCATCGTTATTAATCTTTTCTATTTTGTCACTCTTTCGTTTTTTTTTTCTATTTATCACTTTATTTCGAAGTGGTTTTTGAAAGCTTTGAAATTGATGTGCAGATTGAGAATATATTTTGACATATTCATTCACTTGAAACGCTTAGTATTTTTGTGGTGCTAGATGAGAGAGTGGTGAAAAGGAAGATGCTTAAGGTGTGCTATGATGGTGATCCAGAAGCAGCGTTGATAACCTATTCAACCAGAGGTGAGGCGATGAGTGCGTATAAAAGTACAACTCCAATTCTCAACAATCGTTTCATCAAAGTCTTCTGGCATGCACCTGATTCACAACAAGCCAATAGCGCACAACAATTCTCACATGCGGTGTGTTTTATTATCACTTCTTAAAATGTCATATTGTTATGTTACTAGCAATTACGATTTAAAGTACTGCCAAATGGTAATACTTCTCAAGAAATGACATAAATCTTCTTTCCAGCCAGGCGTGATGAGTGGATCAGCCGTGTCATACAATCCGGTGAAAGGGTCACTAACAAAAACGGTTCATATCGGTGGATCGAGATCTCAGAAAGCAACTGCTACAAATAAACAAACTCCAAATGCAGTTGATGCGTCTGATCCAACAGCTGCTCAAAATCAACTAAAGTCCAAGACCAATCTACCAGTGCCACAAAGTATTGCTGATAAAGAGAAATATATCGAGGTATGAGTCTTTTATCAATTGTTATTAGCTCGATGCATTTTGTGAAAAAAAACTGGATTGTGCGAAATTAAAATCAGCTATTAACTGAGAGTAACGTTTTAATTGTTGCACAGGAACTAACCGCTCATCGAAAAATAAACCAAAAAAAGTTAATTTTGAAATGAAATAGTCTTTGACGATTAAGGTTCGTCGTAAAAGAAAACAGGAGAAGGAGAACAAAATGCGATTACTGGATTTGCATCGCAGAAAATCTGCATTACTCACCAAAGAAATCGAACAGCAAAAGCTTATTATAAAAGCACTCCAAAACGCGACGAATGCTGACAAAAAGAAACAACTCTGTGGGGTACATTTTTATTATCACTTGGTTTTGTTTCCTTGTTGTTTTTTTGCTGTGTCGTCGCCTAAATTTCCAATTTAGTTCGTCGCTCACGCGTTGGTTTTATTTTCATTTTACATTCGTTGAGGAATGAATGTAAAATGAAAATAGATTTAGCTGAATTTGCTTTGCATTCGTTCAGTTGAATTCATTTACTTTCGAATGAACACTTTCTTGTATTGAAATGATTTGCATCGCAGAAATGAATAAATATGACACGTATAATTTTATATTCATTGAGAATTGAGACTTTTACCATTTCATAGACACGAACAGACTTGCACGCTTATGTTTCAGTTGTTCAAAAAAGTGGACGAATCAGTGAAGTCGTTGAAAGGGGAATTGGAAGAGTTATCGATGAAATTGATGGAAATGAACAAGAACTCATCAGAGTCGAATGGTCAAACTGCAGAAGCTGATGATATGAGTAAGGCTGAAAAAACTGTTGCTGATGATCAGGTGACCCCTCAGAATGGTTCTACTGCAAAAACTGTCACGTCGAAACGTTCACGATCGGTTTCAGATGGTATTTCACCTCTGTTTATTTTTTAAGACTCTGATATCATGTGCTCGTATACTTTAATTTTGTTAAATGCAAATTCTCTCGTCTAGACTCGATGAAGCAAACATATTATGTGTGAATGAGAAGTTGTTTCATTTGATAGCAACTGTACTGATGGTGCCTATTATTTCTACTCAAATAATACTTATTATCAGTTTCGTCGATTGGTGAAGTGTTCCTTAGATTGTGATAGTCTCAATTCATATCAATTATTCTATTTCATTGAGAAAAGACTTGCGTTCTTTGGCAATAAGCGCGTTAATGCACTGCATTTCGATGTTTTTCAATACGCCTACAGAGCTGATTCAATTATCTGATTACAGCTTCCGCAGATGGCCATCAAACGGAAGCGACGACTGTGGTGAGTGCACCCCTGAAGAAGATTCGTCACGTCGACTCCACTCAGGTAGCGGCATTGAGATGCTAATTCACTTTATTCGCCTTATTAACAAATTGGTTGCATTTTAATGCGGTTACCACGATTAGTTACGAATGTCATCTCGTTTGTTATCATTAAGTTGAAGTGTTTTTGTTTGAGAGTTGCTGATCGTTTTGAAAATTGATGGGGGGTAGCATAAATATGAATGCTATTAAAGGCAATAGATAATCGTTCACGTGTGGTCGCAGTTCGTGGCTTCACAGCAGAAAGTGAGAACGACTTGATCGTACATATGGAGCATTTTGGTGAATTGGTGGACATGGACTTTACGGCTGGTAGTAGAAATAAAGCTGTTACTGCTTATTTCACGTATAGAACGAGACATGATGCTGAACAGGTTCGTTCATCTTGAATGCCCTCCATCCTGTTGCTGTTAAGGAAACGAATCGTTGATTGTGATTGAATCAATTATTTAGTATTTTGACGTGATGATGCATTAAGTCGATGATTATCACTAAAAAGCAGCAATTCAGGCGGTAGCGTTAGGTGCGGATTTCGGTTTGTGTCCAATAGTGGTTGAATGGGCAACCAAAAATGGTAGTACGGAAGTGAGTGGCGTTGTTCCGGATGAAAAAAGAAACCCCTCGGAACGTGTCACTCCAGCAGCACTGCTTGCCAGCTGCCCACTTGATGAGGTTCATTTTTAATTCTCTTTATCGTTTTCATCATTCAACGCTACTTTTAGTGTCAAATTGCATATCGCTGTTTCATGATAATAGATTCGATTAGTGATTAGTTTAGAATTGCACTTCGGATGTTTCCCAATTTTAAAGTCTTCTATTGTGTGGTGACTTTGCTTTATTGTAATAGAAATATTCGAAAATCGAATTGAATGACTCGAATAAGAGAGCTTTTCGCGTTCTGAGCATCTTTCAGTTTCGGTTAAAAGAACGAAGTGGATTTGTTGTACTTTTTGGAAGAATTTGATCGCAATTAGGGTCGGAAACTGGAGAGGAGTGAGGAGGAATGAAGCTTTCCTTCTCGGGGAAAAAATGAGATATCTCAAAAAAGCAAATTTTACAATATTTTCTTGAATATCATGTTGGATTGTGTGTACGGTACGGTCTCTTATCAAATTTACTGATTAAATGAATCAAGTGTCACATCCAAACAGATCTATTTTCAATGTCTGCCTCACGATTATCTTTCACAGAACTTGATAAAAGCAATGAGCATCACGGAGAGAAAGGGAGGGTAGATTATTTATGAGCGTAGTTGAGGTCGGTCGTTTTTTTTTCTCGGTGGCCACCGACCCAGCTTTATTTCTAGGCGATATCGTACATGAACAAAAGCGTGATTTGTTACGGCCATATGGCTGGAAAACTTGTTTTCGGCTTAACGCAAGAGCATCGGTGAATAGGGAGTTGCGTTCTTCAGGAAATTTTATAGTAACGATTCCCATCTTATAGAGGGGTGAGGGAATACGTAAAAGAAACGCTCTCTCGTTTCCGACTCTAATGTTAATTAATGGATAGTTTGAATGAATCATCCCTTATCCATCAATATTTGCAGTCGGATGAGGATGGCGATAATGAATAGTAATTAAAATATGAATGAAATTTCAATGTGGGATTATTTCATCAAATACTATCCTATTATCGTTGTCGTCACAAATATTTCAACAATTACTGCAGCACAGTGTATCACAGATTTCATAAATGATTACGCACCTCAACGTCAGTTACATTCATCAAATCTAGTTATTATGATCGTTGTTGATTTCATTTGTTTTAATTTGGTCATCGAATTTGTCTAGGTCTTTTGATAAGTTTTGTTATTATCCGTTTTGTTGTCTAGAGTTTGTGTTTCATTGTTAGCGTATTCATTGTTTTATCCAGTTTTTAATCAGTGTAATTTGATTGTCTCTCTGCACCTAAGATTCAACCAATTCGTTTTCTGAGTCATGGTTGAAGTAAGAAAGTTTAGCGAAAAATGTGATTGGTTATCTGTTATCGTTTTTTATTTGAGAAATAATTCAAGCGAATTGCCACTAGAATTTCGTCTTTTTAAGTTTTAAGCTTAATAATATAAATGGCTTAATTGCCATATTTACATTACGAACAGGTCGGATAATTTCAAGTTACCGAACTTGGCATTGGCCATAAGCTCGTGTCTGTTCGTTTATTCTCGTCTCATTCCAATTCTCATATTTGTTCTGCGCTAAATTTGTGTCGTCTCTCATCAGTGGTATGTCTTCACATTGCAGTAGTGCGTCATGAAAAGATTTTTGATAACCATATCTCGATGACTAATTGGTGGTTCATACATTTACTTTGAATGGCTATCGAAAGGTTTCGTTGTGCGACCCAGTGAAGTAGATCATTTTGAGACGCAGCTGTTTCCTTTCTCAATTCGGCACTCTTCTTTAGATGTATGAATGATTTTGCAATGTTCACATCGTGAATTTGTTGTTACTTTTCTAATTGTTGTTCTTGTTGTGAATTATTATTTTTATGATTATCATTGTTATTATTTTTACTATGATTGTCATCATCACAGTTATTGATATTATTCGTTATGGTATCGTATGGTTGTATGATAGTTGAAGTATTTTCACTGAAGCGGTGTTTTTAAGATATTCGTTCTGATGATAATTGTTCAGTTTTGTGTTTGTTTTCATTCAGTTCGGAGGCTATTCAATTTTCATGATTATTTGTTTATCGTTATATTGTAATACTTATTTACTTGAAATTATCATTCATTATCGTTTCAAAAAAGAAGCCAAGCACAAAAGATCGATAAGATTGGCTCATATTCAGATGAAAAAAGGAGTTTAATAAAATATTTGTTGTGTTGTAATTTGAAACTTTGTCCTGCAAGCATTATATGCATATTTATATGTAAATATGTTTTCGTCTGAATGAAGAAACATGAAAAGATCGGGCGTTATGAAAAAAAAAACAAAAAAAATGCAACGAATGAAAAGCGATTATCGGCAAGCCGATATATCACAAGAAAAAAAAAAGAAAAAGATGGATAGAAGCCCGCACTTATATGGGTGAATTGTGGATGATGTGTGTATATTTGTAATGTTTGACTATGGAAGAATTCGTTGTATTTTCGTTGTTATATGAGGTGAATGTGTGTATTTGTGGTTAGATTGGATGTGGTGATGAAATGTGAGATGGACATCTCATGTGAAATTACATTATTATTTTGGAACGCGTATCTGGGAATGAAAGACGGTTGTGAAGGTAAGTGTAAATTTTGTGGATTTAGTTTCAGAGAGAAGGGATAACCTTTCTAGCAAATTAAAGGAAAATGAAACTACACATATTAGACTAGATGTTGCGATGAACAAGTATGTTGTGACCAAACTCGATTAATAATTCGAATCCAAGCGATTTTTTTTGTGATTTTGCTATTAAAAAGAATGTAAAATGTATCAGAACGTTTGTTTCTGATTGTGAGTCAGTCGGTTGAGAGAGCGTCATTTAATGCGCTTTTCGCGAATTTTGTGAATGTTTTTCAATTGAATTCATTTTGATGATATAGGACCGGTGAAAACTAAACTTATTAATTCAGAGAATTACTTATTCAGAATATCGACTTGATTTGCAGTAGCAGGAGTAACATTCTTTTAGATGGCTTATTTTAGAGGCATTTTCCAATTTGTTGCAAGAATTAATAGTGATCGGCGATGATTGTTTAAGTTTTACGTGCATAATGAGAGATGTCAATAGTATCTATTGACATCACTTCTATTCTCAAGATCCACATTCTGCTACACATTCACGTTAATCGCAATCACTGTTGAACAAGAGACTATTAGGGCTAATATGTTATGGGAAGGAAGTCAATGGATGAAGCTATAGATTGCACGTTCACCGTCGTAACTTTCATTGCTTTTGTGATAATGCTGATGATCTCAGGTTGTTGTTCCGTTCAAATCAGTGCGTTTGTTGAGCGGGTCTTTGATAGATACATCAGAATCGTATTGTCGAAGTGTTCTTGCTTTCATGTGTTCTCGTTGATTAGAGGTTTAAATTTGATTATCTTCATGTGGAACTGTTCTGTTTGTAATATCATTTTGTGATAAATTGATAGGTTTTATTGTTTCTGTGTTAATGTTATAATTTTGAGAAGTCGTTCCATTAAAGTTTTATTTGTTGAGCAATAAAATATTTCATGAATGCATTGCCAATCGATTGAATCATATAAACTATACATCGATCACTGCTTCCAATTCAGTTTGAGTTTTGAGACCTACACCTTTTCCGCTGATCGAACCCGATTTATTAGTTCTTAATATTTTCAGATCTCGCCGCATCTGCCTCATGTAACAATTTAGAGATTCGTACAAATTATCTTACGTGAGCTATAAAACTTTGCATTTTTACTTTCGACATGTCGTTTGAAAGCCAATTGGATGCTCAACTTTCGAGTAAAATCGTTTACTTCACAAACAAATCTTTTTGCAAATCTATCAAAACAGTACTGCCATAATGTCGGGCCTACCGATTCCAACGGGTGAGCGATTATTTACAATTCGCATTTCCTTGAATGGGTAATTTTTGTGTGTGAAAGGAAGTGTTGTCATCGAGGAGGCATTCAACAGCGTTCAGATTTTTGTGTTGTTTTATGTTGATGCAATTAAGTTAATAATTCATTAGCTAGAAATAATGCAAACCAATAGTAATACCTTCACTCTCAAGTAGTACTCTTTATTAAACATTCTTCTCAGTTCTGTCGAAGAAATGCTGACGGTAATCCTCCTGATCGTGCTCGTGTCACGTGGTTCGATTTTTCTCACGATTTTACCGGTTTTTTTTTTGAAAACCTTGTCCCTTGGTAGGAAAAGGAATCGGAACAGCAGATTCGGCACAATAAGTAATCAGACGTCGAATCATTCTCGACCGCTGTTTGTCAGTTGCATCACTCGTTCAGATACACAATGCGATTCTTTTTGGTGTCCATTTTCAATGTTGGAGGCATCCATTTTCGGTGAACTTACAGCGGTTTACCCGATTTTTGATGAATTTTGCAGGTAAAGTATAGCAGCAATTTTTGGAACAAAAAGTACATGTAGTGTAATGATCTCATCTCATCTGATCTGATCACCGATTGCAACAACCAAAAGTGTTTATTTGAACGTGGAAACACGAATGGAAGCGATTGCACTACAATTAATACCCGTAAATAGGAGCCATACAATCGATAAGCATAATCATTAGAGCATTTTGTGAGTCTGATTCGTGCGTTTCCAAGACAATTACAAAAACGAATCATCAAAGTTGATTCTGTGGCGATGGAACTCTATTCGAATGGATGCGTTACAACGAACTCGCCTAACGATACAATATCCGTCCAAAGCAAAATCAGTGCTGACCTTATACTGTGAATGTGCATGTTATATCCTAAATGAACATTACAATATTGTCATTATCAATGTAAGTGAATATTACTGTGTCTTCAGCACCAACGATATGAATCTGAATTGTAGTTGATTGATGTGCTCCGTTTGCGACCAAATTCGTTTGGGAAAAACGTTGAAAAACGTTGCGATATTCCAAACAAAGTGATCAGATGACAGCAATATTCATCAATTAATAATAACAATCATTAGAGAAGTACCAAAAATATTCATGATAATAGAACAAATAATATCAGTACCAATTATAATAATATTAATATGAAATAATTTCTGAAACATTTTTTAAGAAAATGATGACAATTAAAGCATAAATGTTTATGGGAATAACAGTGATAATATTAATGATAATACTGAAAATATTATTAACAACAAAAATGTTATCAATAAAAAATAACAACAACGCTATACACCAAATAGTGATGAGGAAAAAGAGAAAGTATTGATCAATTGGCACAACAGAATCGAAGCAAACACTGTCAGGCTACAGATTCGCGAAGTCCGGACAGGTATTCGGGCATGGGACCTGAGCCACTCCACTGTGAACTGCGAGTGGAATTGCGCCAGCTCTCTTGACGTCGACATGGGTAATGACGACGCGAATCCGTCGGATCACGCCATGACTCTCGCATTTCACCCTCGGAACGTGCGAGCATCACTGAACCTGCAATCACTTCTTATTATTGCAACCAACACTCATTTTCGTAGTTTTAAAAAAGTGGATGCAGTTCTCTTCAATGAGCTCGTTCATCTTTACATTAGGTGGTGGATTGTATGCGAGTTTTACGCATTTCCAAACAGAAAATCAACAAGATCAAGATGTGACAGACTGAACGAGATTATTTCATTGCTCTCGCATGAATATGAATATTCCACTATTATTTATCATAGCATAAAAAATCATCGATATGAATCTGAACCACAAAGCACTATTAGGAGGCTATATTCAAGCGTATAAGCATACTTTATTTACGCAACAATAATTGAGTAATGTTGCAGTTTCAACAGAATGAATGATCAAAAAGCAGCAATAACCGTTTGTATATCTTGATAGATTGTGCTCGGATGAGCTATCGATCATAGCGTTACGTGCCATTCTCACCTTTGGTTTATCTCGCCAACTGGTCGTGTGCCGTGCCATCGTGTCATTATTCACCTGACGTGAAGCATGCATCAGTCATCAATAATTATTCAAATTCATTATCTATATCATAACGAATAACTAATGAAAAAGTACAGATAGCGCAGGTTGAGGCGATATGAACACGCTGATTTCGGAGCCACGATACGACACACTTCGGCGCGTATCAACTGAACTTGTTGAATGATGATCGACCATATCGATTGTTGACTTCTGTGAGTATCTGAAAATATCTATCAAATCACATCGAATTGTTCGTTCATTGGATCGTTGACTGCATTGCATCATTCTGGTGATCATCTGTTATTTTGGGCAATGAATGCGAATAAGTTTCCGGTAGAGTAAGCAAAAACATTGTAAGTTGTTCGTGATTAGTGATAACCTGCTCTTGATACTATCGCTGTCGATTTGTGCCTTCGACAGCCATACCCATTCGTGAGAATTCTCATCTTTGCCACATGAACCCGACGAGCTAAGTCTGGTAATAATTGGCAATACAAGTTTCTCATATCCTTGACTCAACGGTCTTCGCGCACGATAACCGAATGCATGCAACGCAACAATGACTGCTCCAATTAATATCAATACTCCAATTATAATCTCTAAATGCCATCCACTTGAATCCATACTTGTCGTTCGTGTACTGTTTGTTTCACCTGAAAAATTCAGTTTGCTCTTTTCATCGTATACACAACTCAAACTTTCTTACGTCTATTGCGATTGTTATCCCACAAAGATCAAAGTTGATACACAAAATGTCATTTGTTCAATCATACAGTAACGAAGATGATTGTATTCGTTTTTTGGAAATTTCAGAAGCATGAAATTATTTCATTCCTTGCATTTTCTGTAGTGCAACTGCTGATTTGTGAAAACATATTGAGTTAGATTATTGGTTGCGGATTGGTTGAAGAGCAATGGACTTTAGTTCGTTTTTCTTTTCGTTTTTCCTCAAATTGCGCTTCTTTATTTTTTATTGCCTTTTACACTCAAACGAATCATTCTGTTCAACTTGATATGGCAAGTTTGAAACCTAAGAAAAGAGCAATTAATAGAAATGAAACAAAGACAATTATAACTCAACGAATATGTTTCTTACTCAAGTTATCGACTGAACTGATAACAAAACTCATCGATTCATTGGTCTGAATGCATCCATAACTCATTGATGATTTAGAAATGGGTAATTTATCGATATCATTGATCAGACAGATGAAAGTTTTGAAAGTTAAGCGCTGAATTGATGTATTTCTGATGAGTAACAAGATACATTCATTTATGGGGTAATAGAATGATTTCTACGTTACGAAGTCGATTCAAAAGAACGTAACAGCCCAAACCTGAATGTATGATATTTTTTGTTGTTGTTTTACCGTTATCGAATTGCAAATGTACCAACATTTCGCGACTCGCAATCGAATTCGAGTCAGGATCGACACAGTGTGGTGGACTTTTTAATTGAATGTTAATAACCGCATTACGAGTATCATCCAGCCCGACCAATTCAACCAAATTATTCTTATTTTGTTGTTGTATGATTGCTAGTAAACGTTCATCACCCGACCAAACACTCAGCATGTAATCTTCGATCGAAACGTCTGCTAATTCACCGATTTGATCATCCGAATAATGGATTCGACATACCAGTAACGCATGCTGAATTCATTCATTTTTTCATTATTCTCTATAACTTCTATTATAATGTCATTAGTCGTATTCTTCATCACCACTTATATGGTGAACGTTACTGTAACAATAATTTTTAATGCTAAAATAATCCGTATCCTCTTTCATAGCGTCCACCGTTCAGCATGTATTATTCACACCATTGCATATTGCAATCAACATGGATACTAATACATCCATGTGCAATGTGAATCAAATAAACACATCTGGTTTTATTTTGATGAAACAGTGATGCGATTGAAGGTTAGGTCTTGAAAGATTTGAGTTATCTGAAAATGGCACATCCCTCTGAATAACGCTCATAATGAATACGGTCAATAATAAAAAATTACTTGGTATCGATGCGTAATCGTATTTTGTATTTGTGAATTGACCANTTGAGTTATCTGAAAATGGCACATCCCTCTGAATAACGCTCATAATGAATACGGTCAATAATAAAAAATTACTTGGTATCGATGCGTAATCGTATTTTGTATTTGTGAATTGACCAAAAACTCATACGGTTTTTCAGCAGCCTTCATGATGCTCATCTCTATACCAGCTACAACGTCTGCGGTTATTTTACGTACGGAAACCGCATCTTCGGTTACCTAAATTTATGTTCATTTCATCATCAATCGTTTGAGACGAGTCTACTCTAACAAGTTCTTAAATGATCAATAATGACGCAGGTCATTCGAAAACGGTACGTCCTTCTGAGTGATGATTAAGAAAGAATTCACTGAAGGTATTGTGAACACATACATACTACTAAATATTCGCGTGTTGACATATTAACTATTGACGCATATTTACTATTAACAAATATTTACGATGGTAACTTCAACAGCTTCTACGATTCACTATCAAAATTTGATGGCGAACAAGTCTCCTTTTGTTAGCCCACCAGACAGTGAATCCTTCGTAATCAATCCTCTCGGAAACTGGTATGTGAAAATTAGTTTTGGATGAGAACGCATTCCATATTTACAATTCATTACTACTATATAATCCAATATGTTTCAAATGGCTGTTGCATCGTGCAAATTTTCAAAAATAAAACCAAAAATTCATTAAAACTCACAACGACTGGTGCACTACCATAATCAATATTTGGCGTGTTTGAGCGAACTGTTATTCTGAAATTATGAAAAGTCGCATTATATACACTCAACTCATCTTCATAATTCGACAAAGCTTTTTATTCATTCATTAACACAGTATGAATTTTGAATGTGACAAGCTCATAACAGACGAATATCTCAATTGTCAACTGTTTAAAAATTCATCGGTTTCTTAATCAAAATTTCACCACAGTAATCAGCAGATTATTCGCAACAATAAGAACATACAATGAACATGTTCTCCATCAATATTCATTCATTTCATCGCAACACATCAAAATTTCAACATGGCACTTGCGTGATCAATCAGACAGGATAAAGTGCAAATAATTCCTAACATAATTGAAATGCATTGTTGATGCCGGATCATTTCTCATCTTATATCACTGACAGTTTAGTAAAGAAGTTGAAATAAGTAATGCGATATAAGTAATTTTCTATGAAATAAGTAATTTTCTCTTCGAATCAACGATTATTTGAAAACGATAAAGAACAATTTTACCTCGCAGATCCAGGTTGAAGAGCATTGAGCAATATTCTTCCTTCACGTCTGTTGATCGTGACAACACCAAGATTTGAACTGTGCACATTATCCAGTGATATTGCAGTCACATCGAACAGTGTATCACGTTGACCTGACAGGTAAAGACGTTCTCCGGTGCGTTCATCGCCCACTTGAAATGCTGCTAGAATTCGAACCTGCAATTTATCATTTTCAGTAATTAAGGGTGCATTTGCAATTGTTTTACGAGCATTTTGTCTAGCATCCACAAAACAATATTGGTTTTTGACAACGTATGTCAACCATCTGTCGAACTGGTTGGAGGTGATTACATACTTATAGATGCGTCCATAGTACAACCTTCAGTGATATTCCGGGTGGTTTTATAATCGTTTGTGATATAAATCCGGTGTAAGAATGTGGGAATTAAAATGGAACAGCAAAACAAAATAATTCTTTATTGATCAATTTTCATTTATGTTATTCTTTAAGTATCAACGAGCCACTCACTTCCGCCTGTTGAAATTTATTCGTACATCCAAACTGCCTAGCCTCCTTTTTTCGTCTTCCTTGTGGTAACCATTTCCATACAGCGATTTGCCATTCTAAAATTGCATTTGACGACTCTTGCTATCCACCAGATACCCATCAAGTCAAACTCGGGCGAGCACCGACTCTTCCATTTTAGTAATGAACCACGATTTTTTCACTTACAAGTTACATGTCATGAAATAGTGAATGAATTTTTTGGATAGTCAATCTATCCAATTTGATTTCATGTCCAAGTTTAGGTGATTTTTTAGGTCCAAGTTTAGGTGATTTTCATTGATACGGCTCGGTTCTCACAAAAATTTAATCCAACCAACGATCTGTCCTCACTATTTTATGTTTTCGCATTTGGATACGTTGAGTTGCAGTAATTTTCAAGAAATTGAATGTGTGCACAAGATGTCGTTGGCATCAAATTAAACAATTGTTTTTGAACAAAAGCGAAGGGATCCCGCATTGATAGTTGATCACGTACCTTTGATAGCATTGAGCACTGGATCTGATATCCACACTGTGATTGGAAGTTTTGGATACCACACTGTGAGCTCGACGCTCGTTGTCCACGCCTCATAATGGACATGAATCTTGATTTTGGCCATGCCTCGCATTTCAGAACTGAAATGGTCAATTGGGAAGATTGAGTAGGAAAGTCAAGGGCTTTCCAAATCAAGAATATTTCTGAAATGCATTTGATCAGCACAAGTTCATCAATATGAGCATGCGGATTCAACACCAAGCTATGATTACAGTTCGCACATAGGACTACAAGCTAACGGAACAGATTTCGTTAGTGTAATTTGCACACAACCAAAAAAAACCAAAAACAGCTCTTCAATATATGAATTTCATTTTCTCAGCCCTTACCTTTTGAGACTTTCAGTGTGCCATGCTTTCAATTTATAAAATGTTTGATATTGAAATCAAGCTCACGCCATAATGACATCTCAAACTAATCCAAAATTCAACGTGAAACTATCATTCACCACAAAAAATGAGGTATATTTGGGCAAGAATCCCGAGAAAAGCCGTATAAGAAAATATAATGCTTTATTGAAAACTTGATCGAAGGAACAGTAACTTCAAGAAATTGATCAATCGATCAGTGCGCATACCCGTCAACGTAGACTGAACTGCATGTGGGTGATGTTTTAAGAACTCTTGATTCAGCACTGATACAATGTGAATTCGATGTTACGTCGGTGAGCAACCCACCTTCTGATATCGTCAATATTCTCATTGGCATCGACGTTTGACGACCGGACAGGATCGCCGTATTAATCAGATTTGTATCCTATAATCAGAATACCGTTATACGTACTAGTCAAGAACATGAGAGTTGACCATTTTTCCACTGCGATTATAAGTGAAGACAATTCAGATTTTTAATGCAACATCCTCAAGCAGTCTTGCAGTGTAATATTTGGATGCAACATTTGATTTTTCAAAATGAACTTAATGCGAACAGTTTCAATGGTACAATAAAATCAAAAGAAATTTTATACAAAACAATTTTTATGCAGAAGATAAAAATAATGAATGCTGCTGATCAACTAACTTTCATTAAAGGAACTAAAACGTATGGTGCGTCAACCAAAATCTTGAATCTTGTTGTGATTCGTTTCGTGGCTGTTTTATCCTACAACATAACGATCATTGAGGACGATAGTCATTCATAAACGAACCAAACATAAAATATAATAAAAGATTTCCAAAAACAGTTTCATATTACTTTGCTTAATGAAATTTCACAATCCTTTCATCACTTCAGGGCATACACTAGGTTGCATCGTGCGAGAATATCGGAATAGAAAATGATTGTTGAAGATGAATTACGGTATGAGTTGAGTTTTGATCCATAATATACTGTAATGCCCAATGCATCGCTGCTTCGTTCTTGTCATCTTGTGGTGAGAATGCGTTCGGCATTGACTTTTGCGAATGCATTTTCACTAATATCATCAAGATATTCCCATCCCATCTGAACTTCCAATTATCATGGTCAATTTTGTCAACTACTTAAAAACGGTCTTATCGCCCAAAACAATCGATGGAAATGAAAAAGACCGAAATCATGGGGAATATACAGCCTAGATTAATCGAATTATACAAGCAAACTGACATGCCTAAATTACAAAGGATTTTAAATTTAGCTAATAAACATCATGAAACTAATTTTCAGATGTGATCGATTTATTTTCAAATTTCTAATGTAGATTTTACGTTCAGACTAACGTTTTGACGTAATCATCACCAATGAAATAACACGTAAATGTGGTATAGGCTTCAGCTTGATCACTTGATTCAACACGTATTGACCACATTGTTGGATCAGAAGATGCAGCTGATACTATTTCTAAACGGTTATCTAACCACACTCTAGAAATATCTATATTAATTGACACTTTTATTTATTGATCACATGTAATTCACTGCTTCAAACCAGTTGCAAATTTGATTCAGACATCTTACGATTCACATTCGCATTAGTCAACGAGTGAAGATATAATCCCTCTTGTGGATCACATTTTCAGTCGTTGAGAAATAACAATTCAGTTGCTTGCTAATGATTATTAATGACAAGCATAAATTTATAGGTCATCATGGATTTGCTCAAGGTTTTGGAATATTGCATATGAATGCTTTAAGAAGAATGAGTCAACACTGTGCTGTTTCTCGGTTGTTTATGGAGAAGAATAGAGGCAATAAGCTTAAAACCGATTTTGAAGGCCAGGAGTGCCAGATAAGAGCAGTGGTGGTTTCAATCGTTGGTTTCAACCTCATCGAAATTCTATCACTTTATGACTTTCAATGTCATAGAAATAACCTGATCTGAATGGCAGTGAGATGTGCATCCTTATCGTTGTATTTCAAATGAGCAAGTAATGTGGTCATCAAATCCGGTGAAAACGATATATTCGAACGCGTTCGTATCGATAATTGTCTGCAAATTTCCACACTAAATGCAGTGAGTGCTCTGGTCGGACTAATAACATAAATGATGAAGTCACCAGCTTTGTGATAGTCATATTTTACGAAGTGTCAATGTTATGCTTATATATCAGACATTATAAGGTGCGAAAATGTGCTTTAGAATTGCTTTGCAATCATATGATGAAAATTTCGTTGTGTAAATAAATGCAAATGAGTGTGTTTGGAACAGATGCGCATTGTATCGTCATGATGTCCATTTATTAATATCCTTCTACACGACTAGAATGAACTTCGCTTGCATGTTATAATGTGACATGTTGCATGTATTTCTTTATTCAATTTTATCAATACCTTTGCATGCACGTGAGCATTTCATTAATTGTTTAATGCTGTTATTATCTTCATCAAAGAAGAAACTTATCCACCCCACTGCATGTTTGTTGCTGCAACGAATGAACGCATAATCTCATCGGATTTATCATAGATGAAATGTCGTGGTGTTCGTTTCAAAAGCATCTTTGTGTAAGGTTCGCTGATATGTTCCGCAATTTTGTTTATGCCTAGTCTAGATTTCGTGTATGTTGTAGGCATACCAATACATCATTAATGCCTTGATCAGTTGATTCTTACGAATCAGCAGATGATGGGAAATGCTCTGAGGCAGGGAATCATTCAATAAATTATTGGACAAGGTGATAATGATGGAGGTATTTGGTGGTGGCGTAAATTTTTGTTGTTACAGACGCTTGAGTTATTAGTTGAGACCACGACATGAATTATTGTAGTGATCCAGCTGAACAAATTAAAATTAGACTTGCACATGAATTTTCCGAATGTCAGTCCGATGTCAGAAGAATGGACAATTTCGATGTCAGAAGAATAAACAATGAAAATCCTACAAGAAATCCTGTTTATCAAGTTCGATTGTTTGATATCGATTCGGTAACAACGTGGTTAAATATAATTCAGTCCGATGCGATGTTATCGATGTGGACGACGAACAATCAGATCCGACAGAATACGACAACGTTATTGACTGAAACCATTCCAATTTTATCATTCATTTAGCAATCAGTGTCATAAACTGCTACTGGATTAGTTTCGAATTTTATTTGTCTTTATTTGCGATCCATCAGTAGGAAGAAGCAAATAGAAGAGAGCACTAAAAGAAAATTCTTCTCATCAGTTTTCTAATATACTTGTGTTCACTTTAATCTTTTTATCAGCCTGGAATTCGGAGTAAATTTCAATATCTGCGTTTAACACACATACTCGATGAAATAAATAACATATTAGTACATCCACACTTTATTAATAATTAACTTTTATCTAATTTATAAATGCAAAAGGATGTGCATGGTGAATTTATTAATCGAGGCTATTCTTTGTCATACTCACTCTTATCTATTGCTGACTCCATGTTCTCTCGAATGATTCTTGCCAATTGAATTCTTTGGGTATAAATATTTATATCCACACAGTCAGAGGAAAACTCGAGGGGCAAAAAAGATTTCGAATGAAAAATGAAGAATCGCTTAGTTATTGAGTATTTTAAAAAAATCGCACTATCGAACATAACTTTGAATGACTGAATTTTTGAGAAAAGCTGATTATTGATGACAACAATACCGCATTACGTTTCAACTGAGCACGTAATGAATCGCAACTCTTCTCATTTCCGATGACATAATCTCAGAATTAATTGGAATAACATCAAAATCAATCATTGAAAAATCGAGTGAACTTATAGAAATTATATACAACGATGCTTAAGAGTGATGAGTGGATTCCATACTCAATAATATTCCGATGCGGCTATTACTAAGTGATGATAAAGAAATCATATACGAATAAGAAGCAGTAATAAACCTGTTTGAGATGTGCTTTTTGTGAGGGAAACCAAGAGAATGGTACCATCGTTCGAATGATGCACGAATGCCGTAATGAATCGAAAACAGATATTGTGCACGATGTCGGTGTGGTTATCAGTGATGCTAAACTAAGTTGTGTTGATATACAGATCGTTTGACGAAGATACGACAGTGTTCCGATATCAGCGATCGCTACCACATCCACATACGGTCGATCCTTAATCGAGTGATCATTTGCTTTAATCTCTTCCATCATTTCGGGATCTGTTGATGCTGTCGAGCATATCAACTGAGCAAAATCAATGCGAATGAAATTGTTCATTTAAATGTGTTCAGTGAGCAACAGAGCTGAACTGACTGATCAAATTCAATCAACTTAATCGTATTCAACTCATCGAAGCACTCAATCGAAAGATATTATTTGTTGCTATAATACATCAACAAACGTTGTGTTGTAAATATTCATTAAGCGTTGTGTTGTAAACATTCTGCTTGCAATGACTGCTGCAAATGAATATATCCATCTTTTCAAGCGTTTGCTTTAGTATTCGTTATTTATTGCAAACTATTTGACAATTATATCCTCAAGGGATGTTGCATTCGAGGGCTGAATCATAGTCGAAAACATTATCGATTCTAACTCAGCTCTAATTTATGAGCAAGACTGAAGCATGCTTCAGTGAATGATGATTCTTATATGTGATGATCCAGTAAACGACGTTGTGCTCAGGCAATACGGATTTGTGGAAAATTGATTGATTGTGAGTGATAATTTTAAACTGGATCAATTAGTTGAAATCAATGATAATAATAGATTCATACTAATGGGATGATCGTTGATGCAATTTTGACGGTGATCGCACACTCGAGATTTCTAATTGATTGAAGCGATAAAAAGTGACGTTTGCCAGATTCTGAACTCACCACTGATTGATCGTTCGAAGATGGACAACCATTCTAAATGTTACATTCTTTCATGAAAATGTGCTTATGACTTCTTCACAAAACGCTCAAAATGAGTGTATCTGATGAGGTGTTAAGTTAAACGATCACAAGTCAGAAATATAACATAAAAATCACGAGAAATTCACTGTTCAAACGATGAATTCAACAAAAATCTTGAAGAAATGCAAGCAAGTCTAGGTTAAATATCCGGATTATGGCTCCCAAACTTTCACGGAACACGACGACCCACTAAAAAAAACTGATATGCTTTATTTTGGTGGTCGAGACTCCGGGAAAAATAATCTTTCTAACTTTCTGGAGAAAAATCTATCAAGGGAAGGGATTATCCAAAGAAATAAGATATATCATTAGCATCACATTCAGATGTAAGCTAATCCACAATAGTTGAATGCTGATTCATAAAAATATTTCAGCATTTACAGCTGATAAACAATGAAACGATGCATCAATGAATAAATATACCTGCAAATAGATAAGTGTCTTTGATTGATTGGTACCTTGATTTGGTGTGAAAAGTACGAAAGCGTCTCTGTCAGGCACTATCGAAACGTGCACTCCTACAATAATAGCACTCAGGTGAAGTGCGATTGACGAAAATCTTTTAGTCATTCAAGCATTTGCTAATTAACTGCGATATTCATTCTGTGGTTATTGGTTGCTATGGAATGGAATATTTCGCTCCTCTATGAGCGTAATTCACTTAGGAATAAATGAATATTTTGTGGAGAAATATCAAGTATAATTGGATAGTGTGCAATTTTTGTTACAATTGAATTATATTCGAAAAAACTTTCATGTCCATTCAAAAAAAGAGCTTATAGTTGAATGAGCATCTCCTTGCTAGTTGCGCAGTTATCAACAATGCAGTGAGAGTGTCGAATAAGAGCAAGATAATCTTGTTCAATTCATAATCAACGGTTGCTCATACAAAATTGAAGAAATCGCTCCGAACACATTAAAATATTCCAAATTTCCTCGGTGAATTACGCGCATTTTCAATCAGGATGAATTGATAATAATGGAAAGGCGACTTCATTCGATGGAAATTATAGTTTGCATGTGCATTCAATCGGAAACATTGCAACAACTATGCATGTTCCAAAAGCTCAAACCGATCCGTTGAATAATTCACATTGAATCTTTCTTCTTATTGTTGAGTAGATCTCCCATCAAATCTGTTTAGTTCTCATTTGATGCAAATTTGAATTACAATATGAAAATACATTGACAAAAGCCAAAGAATGACATGACAATATGAGATTGTACATATGGAAGTTTTTATTTATTTGCATGCTTGCATATGTACTCAATCGGATGGATGTGAGAGTATTTTGAAATGCTTTAAGGTAATCGTTGTTTGTGGATGAATGATGCGTACTGAAGCTGATGGATTGATTCACTTAGAACGACTGAATGATGCAAGAGTGCACATCTCAGATTTAAAAAAGAAAGAATCACAATTTATGGTCGTATTACATAAAGTCAATAAAAACTGACTGCATCAATGAGAAACCAATCATGAGTGCTTTATTATCATTATTAGTATTGCTTTTGATCGGCAAGTCTGCCTCGAGAAAACTTTTTGCATCAGACGAACATTATGCAGTGTGATTCTGCGCTAAAAATAACACTCATTCTATGTACTATTCTTTGGTAACACTTAAGCACGTATACATCTCGTAAATCCCGCAATAGAATCAATCCCTCAAATACGAGCGCACCTCCAGAAATGAATCTATCTGTGAAATTACCGAGTATTACAAGCTCACATCTCCAAGAAATGAACCTCTTCTCCGAATGTAATCGTGAAAATTGCTCTTGAATCGATCATTGATATCGCTGTTCTTTCAAACAACAAACTCACTATTCCAAGTATTAACTGTGATTTATCTAAAAGCCATCGTAGAGAGTCAAATTAAAGGATTTGTTTTGAATTTTCAAACGAATGCAAACAAAAAGAACTCAAAAATTAGCCATATAACAGCATGCTCGTTCATTCGGTTACTGTAGATTAAGAAATATTTCACTACTCAGAACAATGAAATGAATACATCGTTTCACAAAGATAAAACAACCACAAGAGAACAATTCAATGCGCTCTTCATGATATGTCCATCAACATTCAATGATAAATAAGGCAATCATGAAGATTCAACGTCGATTCTCGAAATTTGAGTTATGTATTAAAACTTTGCTGTCGTTGTCTAGAATTGTGGTCAGTACTCAAGTTTTATCGAAAATCTTTGATTTCAACTCTGACCCAAAATACCATTGCAGTAAAATTTCAGAGCATCGTCCCATTGAATAGTTAGTTGTCTGAGCATTAAACCGTTACTATATTCTAATATATTATCGAAATATTCCTCATTGAAAAATTTCGATATATTATTATTTAAAGGTGTTCACAAGTGACTGGCTTTAGGAATCGAGGATTTCGGTTAATCGAAATGAATTGAACTGATAATTTGTCTGGAAATGCGTACAGTGATCAATGACCCTCTGAGATATCCAGTCTAAGAAAAATCCCGGAATAGTCTAATAAAACTGCGTGCCGTTTAATATGTCGCACTAAAAGGACGTTCACTGGAACATGTACCTGATAAAGAATGATGTGAACAGCGATAAAAAGACATTTGAATGATAGATGTCCAGAATGAAGGAATAGACAACAGTCGAATGTCGAATCTCATATAAATCTTTTACTTGCGAATTGAGCGATACTGCGCAATCGCATTCATTTTCAGTTACATTTGCAACGAATAAATCATGCAAAAATAAATTCAATTTGTTCTTCTTAACGCATTTTAAGTGAACGCTTTTGTTTAGCAGAAAATTTGATGTTGAAACTGTCATCTGTTTGGAGTGGTACTCGCAGGCGAAGAGATTATTGAAAGACCAAAAGAATGCGCAAAGAGCACGTTCAAATTAATGAGTTCAAAAATTCTCATTCGATTTAATGAATTTGTTTCCGAAAGGGAAACGATAAAGCGAAGCAACGCAATGATAGCGCTGTCAACTATCAATAGAGGTCTTTTTTGTGTCGATAGATTACTAATGTTAACGTATTCGACGCAATTCAATGGCTGCAACAATTCAATTACTGCTGATGATTATGCGCTTCAAAGGAGACAAAAAACTATTTGTTTAAAATGATGCATTTGCATTATTGGGTAATGCAAATGAATACGCAATTCAATGAGAGTATTATGAACAGAATAATAATGAATGAATAATACCTGAGGTTGGGTGGAGATCGAGGACCGAAAGTGTAAAAATGATGAGGAGAACGGAAAGAGGGACTATCTGAGTGGAGTATTGCATTATTAGAAGTGTTAAAATGAGGTGCTGCTGGTGGAGCAGTTCGGCTGAGTTTGTTGCCACTAAAATGGATGAATGGTGGTTAGTTAGATCAGAATATTACTAGAAGCAGCATTAGTACTCGTATTAGATGCAAGTAGTAAGTACTGAGTGATATGCATGAAAATCGATCATTTTAAAAGGCTCCATGTATGGACGGACGGATGGCATGAATGGATGAACATGTACATGGATGCTTAATATAGACACACTCACTCACTCACTCACACACACACATAGCAGTCATCCGTCCTTAACTCATACATTATTTTAGTTCTTCTGATTTCTTGGAATATTCTTTTTTAGTACATCGATGTGGCTGATGTGTGTTTGAAAATAGAAACTAAGAAGTGCATACGAGAACGAATGCGGCAGTCAAGTGATTTATGTGAAATTCAATCAATTGATCACAGATAAACCGAAAAAAAAAACGAGTCAATCCATAGGCTATATAAAGCTCATAATCATGCGGGCACAATAAACTACGGTTGTTCAACCCTCCTTCAGGATTCGGATTAGCTTCTCTTATTCTTGATATTGCTGCGAGTAAGTGACCGCTAGACGAGACTGAAACGGTTCGGATCGCTCACTTAAACGATTCACTCATGCACCATTTCGTTCAAATCGCGAATCACCCATCCAAAACGATGACGTTCAGTCACGATCTTGGGCGAAACATATTTGTGAGAAAACAATTTTAGTGAGAGAATGATTTGTTGAAAACAATAATGAAATCGATGGAAATGAGAGTGAATTTCAGTTTGATCTGACTTGAACAAAGCAAATAATGTGAAAAGATGTTTGAAATGAACATATAATAGGTGAGGTGGAAGCTTCACTCGAGCTGGGATCGGACTGCTGGAAAGGACGCTTCAGGGTGTCTCAAAACATAAAATTTAGTCGAAATGCGTCAAGAGTTACGAAGCAAAAAAAGGATGTGTTAAGAGGATCAGACAAACAATGAACGTATAATTCGTCAATACGAGCTAATACTTTCCGTTCGAATCTCCTTTCTTTTCTGTAATATTTTATCTCTTTTGCACATTCGAGTCAACTTCAACGTTCTTGCATCAATTCAATTTAAACAAAACTCGGTCGCAGTAACCAATACTACTTGAACGTTGCTCAACCGTAACGATAAGGATACCCAAAACTGTTTTGTTCTTTTCGACGGTTTCAATCGAATTGGTTCCGAATGAGAACTGATACAATGCCATTTGCAAATTGTTCTACTGTATGCTGAGGTCTACATGCAACCGAACCATGCCTGCGTGCAAAAGCATTCCTCACAATGTCAAACCTTCGAATAGGATCACTAAGCTAAATCAATCATACGGCTATTAAAAGCGAGTCCGACCGACGACTTCAACTTTCGCTCAATAAAGCATTCAATAATGCGATATCTGTGAATGGATATCTTCTTCTCTGTTTTAATACTTTACCTTCAATTCCCAGCCTTATTCTTATTGTTAGTATTGTTAAAGCATTTCAATTCACCATTCCAATGTTCATACACTGTGCTGCAGATTCGTGTTTGTAGGCTTTATAGGTAAACAATTTTATGGTTAACTTTTACGGAACATACTGAAAACACAAGCTTTTCTTAAATGAAAACATTTTTAACGATGACGTTTTTCAAAAAATATAATTCATCGTTATCAATGACATGAAGCCCTTTTAATTGCTTCGATTTGTATTCATTTTCCAAGCAAAATCGACCGAAAATCAATGCATCATTCGAATATATCTTGATCAACACAAAGTGATTTGGATAAATTATATTTACCCCAAAGGGATGAAATCGGCATCGTCTGAGAAACACCTGTGCCTTAGAACCAAATCATTTGATCTTTTAATTCTAACAATCCGAACCTGAAATGACTACACAGCTACTATGAATAAAAATACTTCTGGTTAAAGAACGATAAATTCAGTACTCATGACGAGCGATTTAAATGGGAAAGTGATTGCAAAAATCAATTAAAATTTGTTATGAAGGCGAAAAAAAAGCAATTAAACCAGGAACAAATTGAATCGAGTCCATCAACATTGATGATATTCATTTACAAAGCACAAAAATTTCCCCAACAAAACCAAACTCATCAAAGAAATTCAAACTGAATTATAATGCAATGCTCAATATGCATCCTTTGCAATGTACCGTTGAAGAGCTGAAAGCAAAACGTTTCAGTTCCATGTTCAGTGCTAATTTTACGTACGATGGGACTCATCAAATCAATCAAAGAACACAAACACTGATCATAATAGTAACCGCATTAATAATAAAACAAAAAATTCTTGCAAATGCTTTAACACGCATCAAATTAACGACAGCAAAAGAACACATTATATTAATTACCCTTTGAAACACATTCAAAATCAACTGCAAATGAAATCAAAATTTGAGTAAAAATGTCAAGATGAAAGTCAGAGCTCAATGAAAAGTCAATTGCAAAATAACTTCCTTAAGCTTCTTAAGGTTTATTTTCGAATATTTCCTGTTTTCAACTATAATACAAAGATCTGCTTTATGTCATATGTTTGAATGAATGAAACAAATTCGCATTCATTCAATAATGTAAAGAACAAGAATAACTTATTTTATAAATCTAAAGAGAACCACTGATCCACAACAATCGTTGTGCTTCATTATTGCACAAAAGTTCATAAACAAATTTGTTTATTCAAACATAACGATAAGTATCGTTAAGTTTGAATGAACAAATCTCCATCCATCACACATCTGTACGTATAATTACTACCCATACTGACGGCAAAAGAAAAACTTCTTTACAGTACTATTTGCAGGTAAATTCAAATTTACGAACAAGAGAGAAAAGCTGAAATCACTGAAATGAATCTCAAGATAACACTGAAATGAAGTGAATATTTTGCAGATTATGATCGCAACCTAACTGATGGGATATCGCCGATAAATTTACATATACGGATTAAGAATTATGATGGCCACAAAAGATCAAGAGAGGAAGGATTTTCGTTGATATTGTTCGACATCGACGATGGTTTACTGTTAGAAACCATCGACTGTGCACCGAACTGAGAGGACGTGGACTGCTGGAAGCCTTCGCTGTCGTTCAGTGCTAACGACGAATGCAATTGGGATGCGCTTTTCGCAGACGACGCTAATGAACGATTTATGTAGAGTGCATTGGTTCGATAAGACACATCAAATTCGTTAATTAATTTATCCAATTCCATTACACGTCTTAATGCTTCTTCCAATCGATCATCATTCATTTGCGTCTGAAATTCATTCGCTTTTATTGATTCGTTCAATTATTATTATTATCACTCAATACTCTTTTTAAGTAGGCGCAAACAAATGTGAAATATGATATTCAGGGATAAACAGAGTTGTGCATTCACAATAACTTGGAATTACCGATACTCTGAGCTGATAGGCAATCATGAGCATAATTATTACGATAAAGTATGTTAAAAAGAAACAAACCTTCACTTCATCCAAACGAATGATTCGATTCTGTTGATCGATACGAACGACTAATTTTCCTGCATCACTCATCTCAGTCAAATATCTCAATGCGTGCTCTGCATTATCCAGATGGCCTCTACGCACAAAATCGTCGATTGATATCACCGAAAAACACTACAAATACTTTCCGTTAGAGTGATTAATATCATTATGATTAAGATTATTGTTCTGATTTGTACAGAAATGTCACTAATGAGTCTAAATTATGATTTTGTGCGTATTTAAGTCAAGGATTAGTTATCAACTGACCCAATTAGCAAGACAAAACGGAAACTAAGATTAAGATTAAATCCATAAATGCACATGGAGCAAATGCAATATGATGGAAAACAAAATATACCTTAGCAATTTTTAAGATGGAATTTTCACGAATTTTTCTGATCAAACGTTTCACCAATCCGACATTTCCATCCTGAATGAAAGAACATTTATGAAGTGATGACAACTGAAGAGCCGAAGAACTTCAAAAACGAAAGAGATGAACTCAGAATGAAACAAATGGAAATGAAGCAGCAACCATCTCGAATGTTTTACGATGCTGCTCGAGATGTTTGATAAGCGATAACGCCACATCAGGGCCGTGATCGTTATTCTGGCAAATTGTCTCGATGCTCGTATAATCCGCACAAAGTTTCCTCACATTACGTGGTATTAGTGATGATCGATAACTTGGCAGTGGGCTTATTTGATCGAAGAGTATCATTGAGATAAGAATGTACTTCTGAAATTCATTTTATTTTTAGAACAACTTTCGTTGCTATTCTTATTGTCATTACTGTCATGGAATTAGTATTATTATTATTGTTACACTGGAATGACGTACTTGGTAAGAATTCCGTCAAATGAACATCAGCCTATGAGAACATGTCGAATAAAGATGATCGTCAAGCACTAAGCTTTTATCGTCATTCTTATTACTGCTATCACAGCGTAATCCATGCTCACGCATCATCGTTATTAAACAATCATTGAATCACCCAACATTGCTCTACAACCACTGATCTAACTCCCATTAAACGGCACAAAAAAAAAACTGATTGAGCCTTCAAAAACTGTGGCAAATAACTGCAATGAACCTTATAGGCTTCAACAACGACGGCACTGATTGCGATTGACGGAATACAAATCACGTTCTCCATCATCAGCAAACACTCTCTCAATCTTCCCAATGAACCCAATATCAAACCACCATAATAGAAATACAACAACACCCATTTTGAATCGATATTAGGAATATTCGATTGAGATGATGTCTGCAAAATATCACTTCAAGATGTCTGAATATCACAGTTACAATCAACAATACCATCACTGCCGTAAATCCAAACAAGTTCTGCTATTCTATTGCTCTTATACAGCCAACAGTTAATATTCATATAAACAACATTAAACAACGACCATTTCCATTTCCGTTTCAAACTATCGAACAAAAAAAGAAACTTTATAAATTCCAAAAAACCAAAAAAATACATACACATATGTGAGGAAAAATTATGCTTGGTGAAAATTTTTCACATGTTTACTTATTGTTTTAGCAAATGCATTCAATATCAGTAAATAAAAATTCGAATGAACTGTTGAAAAATTTTGAAAATTGCTAAATAAACAAATTTGAAAGATGAAATTATTCTTTAAATGGAATAATAACAACGAAACAGACAATTGAAAAAAAAGAAAATAAAATAAACGAACCTCTTTGAAAATTTTCGTGATCGGAGTTTCCAGAAATGGAATCGATGGCTCATAAATACGTGTTCTAAGCGACAAACAAAACAGATACGAATGCAGCGATGTCAACACACCTGGTTCAGGCGCGAATATACTGATCGCTGATAACAACAAACGAATTCCACGAATCAACAACACCTCAAATTAACATTATCATCATTCCATTGATTACTCCACTAAATATTCATTGACTATAGTTTTCCGGTTTAAATTTCGTCCAACCAACCATAGAATATATATCTCACGTGACATAAATCACAAACAATCAATTTATAACTGATATGTGAATTTACAAATTACAAATGAATTTACAAAAAGAATTTACAAATCCATTACAAATTCACTAAGTAAATTAAGGTGCAATAAAGTAGTGGTGGTGAGGGATAATAGACAAGCACTTCATTGATATGATGAAGTGCACATTTAGAATTTGCACTTCACTTCCGAGAATATGATCCATTGCAATAAATGATGAAAAACTCAAAATAGCGAAACAAAATGCACAAATGAATTGATGACATACTTGTTCATTCTTACGAAGAAAATACTGAGCAATTCGTCGGATTAGTGCGACAACTGAAACAAAATAATCAACAAACAAATCACAACAAATCAACGAAAAAAAAAACTACGATGACGGGAAATGCTGAATAAAAAGACGAGAAAAAGCTCAACCGAGATAAAGAAAAGTAAAATGAATTTAATGTTTCCTCTTTTCTGGAATAACAAACACAATTAATTCCTTAAAGATGAACAGCTGTTTGTTCAAAAGATAATTCCATACGAATAAACTGAATAATAAAGCTCACATAGATCTGGCGCCCACTGCAATTGACACTGATTGAATAATGGTAGCCATAATTCAACTTGTGCGATTGTTTGTAGAATCTGAAAGTTGATATTAATTGGTTTGAAGTTATCGAAAAGTTATTTAAGTTAAAGTTAAGTTAAGTTTGAAGTTCAAAGCGTTATTTGTAAGCATTCAGACTATAAGTGTCGATCTATGAGATTTACAATGACTCAGACCATATAAATCATCGTTTCATCGCTCTGCTATTATCGTTTCTTTCATGTTAAACAATATCAATGACACACCGTTATCAATCTTCATTCAATTTGATATTAGCAAAAATATTGTTGCAACGCTTTGACTCAGGTAACAACACACAAAGAACTGTGAAAATAAACGATAAAATGAAATCGAATGCAAAAATATTACTCTTTCGTGAGTTGCGCTGTTCCACGGTTGACTCATTTTTGCGAGAAGAATTGTGACAACCGACAGAGAATGCTCCTCAATGTTCAACGCTTCAAGCACACGGTTCAAATGGCTGATATTCTTCTCCAGAATTTCGCTCAGTGCTTTACGATTCAATTCAGCCAATTCATTTGATGAACCTTTCAAGAAAATACTATCATTTGTGAATGTTTATTGGTTTCATTGCTGAGATTTCATTCGAAATTTCAAAATCATTTTCTTCATAGAACTGCGCTCTTTCCCCTACAACAAAATGAAAAATCCTTTCGGTGTTCTGAATGAAAAATCCTGTTGACAGAGAAAATACAACAAATGGAACAGAAACAGGACGCATTCGACGGCTTTAAAATGGAAAATAGATATCCTGAAAAA